TTTGCTATGAAAGGATTTATAATAATATATTTATGCAATTGATGAAAAATTTTATGTTATTTACAATGTTTGATTTTTCCATGGATACATTGTCAGAAAGTAAGAAAATGACACCACTTTTCTATTGCATAAATTACTTATTTTTTTAGAAATGCTGTTGTTGTTGTTTGTTTATTTTTGTTGTTTTTTTTTCTTCATTACTTTAACATGCCTTTTTCGATTAAAGATATCCCGAGTATACTCGTTCTGACAAAGGCAGACGAATTGTGTGAAAAAGTCCGAGAGGACGTCAACAATATGTTTAGAAGCATAAAAATACTAAAGGCCGTCGAAACAGCGAGTGATGTCTTTCATATTGACCAAGCGTCAATTCACCCTGTAGTTAATTATGAAGTCACTTCGACACTGACAACAGAACAGAACATTCCACTGCTTCTTGCATTGGACCAGAGCATGGTTTACGCAGTCCGCCGTGTCAAACAAACACAAGATGATGATTAAACACGCTAGAGAAATTATCCAGACTGGTAATAGCAAATAAAATTATCCTGACTGGTGGTAGCAAATTATACAATGTCTTCTTGTTATATTTTTGACAATTGTGAAGACTGTTTTTTTATTAACAAATCTTCATAAACTGTGATTAGTTAAAATATGATTAAAAATCATCCGAGTAAATTGAGTTTATTACCATATTGTATAAAATACTTTCATTTAAGGAAATTACATAAAGACAACTTTTGAGTTAATGCACAAGTAATTATATTATTATTTGTAATAATACATATCTTCAAAACAAATTAACACAAGAGCTCCATATATATATATATAATAAAAAGAGATATTGTCGAGCTCAAATTATAGTCATGTATTCGTAGTTGTCCCCGCCAAGGGATTCTCTATTTTCCTTTAATATATTTGTATGTATAATTTTTTCGGTTGAATTCAAATGTTGCCAAGAAGAATGGTGCACTTATTAATAAACACTATTTTTGTCCACTTTTGAGGAAACTTTTATATTAACTATGCTTGGTATAAGGTTTTGTTGAATTTGCAACAGTAGTTCTTTGAGGACAAGTCCGGACAAATTTGTGAAGGATGGACGGACAGACATGAAATGATCTATGTGTGTCAGGGCCATTTTGTCGCATGTCGCAGCTTTTGTGTAACAGGCTATACAAAAATCACTAACGCGTCAAAAACGCCCTTTTTAGGGTCATAACTAAGGCAAAGTCATCCATCAAAAAACAAGAAAAACACCCATTACGCAAGTATTTAGATACCATTACATTAAAAAATGCATTGGTAGTTTAAGAGAAATAATCAGGGCAAATTTTCAAAATAAAACTCATGACACGGCCATAACTCTGATAAAAATCATAAAAATGACAATATCCGAAATAACTGATCATTCCTGTAAAGTGTGTATTCAATTGCACCAATATCGGTTCAGGAGTGGTCCGTAATTTTTTTTGTGACGGACGAACAGATTGACGAACAGAATAGAAGACAATATAGAGAGCGGACTGGAAGATACGAGGTATCGAGACGTTTACTTATTGATTATGTATTTTATCGTCGGTGAAATTCATTTTTCCGCCGAAGTTTTTTTGATTTGACAACAATTCGCCTTAACGGACCTAAGAAATTCAATTATATGCGTTTAGACTTTTATACTTTGAAAACTCAGATATCGAGTCCTCAAAAATGCTGATAATTTTCGTCTTGTGTTTCATTATCATGTACATATCACTTTATATTTTGTACTTACAAATTTTATAAAATGTCTTTGTTGAGTAATAATTAAAATCTGACAATTTCTTATGTATGCAAAGTTATGTATATAGATTGTTTTGTAACATGTACTTTGATTCGTACTGATTTTGTTATATGGATATGCCGTATAAGTGTTTTTTCTGCGGGCTCCGAATTCTGCGGCTCTTCTAAATTTTGGCATGTTTTTATTTCTGTGGACTTTATTTTTGCGGCACATTCTTTGGACAAAACGTGATTTAAATTCTTCGACTCGTCTTATCAAAGTCTAAGTCACATTACCCTATCTATTATATTTGCATGTATACGTTCGCATTTGTTTATCGTCGTCACCGCAAAACTGTATAGTAACTAAAAGCAATTATATTGTTTGCTTGCAAAAAATATAATGCACAACAATAGAAAGGTCAGCGTGAAGTGACGTGTGAAAAATATACCCCGTTAGTATCTTTAATTTATTAAAATTGATAGAAATTTACCGTAAATCAGATAACAATTAAAGTATATACAGATTATTTAGCAATATAAGGGTTGGAATGTTTTGAAATATCTTTATTTTTACATAAGCATCATTAACAATATGCACATCCTTACAAACACAAATTACATACTCAGCCGACAACTTGAAAACCCGCTAACCGTTATAATCTGTAAGTCGTTATTACTTTAGACGAAACAGGCCATTATGTAGGATACATATCGTAGAAGGTAAGAGAAATATTCTGCGGTTTTTATTTCTGCGGTGCCGAAACTGACCGCAGAAAACGCAGAAATAAAGTCACCGCAGAAAAAAACCACTTATACGGTACATAAAAAGAGACCTATAAAAATAAATCATGTTTTATGACATGTATAGGAATATTTATATTAAATCAGTATATACTTAGTTTTTATTAGCCGCTCAAGTCCTATTTTCGCATACATGCATCTTAGTATAGCACTAAGCAGTTGAATTGTTCTTTAGATCTAAATTAAGTCTATTGTTTCCATGACATAAGCAATGACGTTGTTACATGCTGTTTATAGTATTTAAGCTGAATCATGTTTTACTAAGTTAAACGCAGTTATCATTATGTTGAATTAAGAAATGTGTATAATATAAGGGAGGTAATACAATTGTAATATGCACTGTTAGTCGTCACAGTAACAGTCTCTTATAATTATTTTAAAAATTGCTATACATTCTGTTTGATATGATCTTTAAAATTCCTTGTTTATTAGACATTTACAAAGACAAAATATTGTTTATCAAAATTTGTAAATTAAAGTGCGAAGGAAAATAAAAGGCTTTTCTTCATAAATGTCTACCACATCTGTAATGTTTCTCAGATTAAATTCATTAAGTAATCCCTTGGTGCTTAAATTGTCTTATTGTTCCATCTTGACACATACATATTATTATATACATGTAATTATTCCCGCTGAAAACTGATGTTTACTTTTGACTATTCAACAAAACGATATCAAAGACGCGAAAATCACTCTGTATGGTGCAAACAACTATATGATCAGGGTGTCATAAGTCACTCTGATGATGCCCCACATATACCCTCTTCGACGTGGTGAACATGAAAAAGAGGCTGAATCGAGAAACAACATGGTGGCCTTTTAACATTAAAACACACACACACAAATGATTGGATTTTATACTGTTAAAAAGGATGTTACCTATGTAACAATGCAGATTTCGTAGTCACGTGTAACACTTCCTTTAACAGTAAGAATAACTCCCAGATGCCTATGGGGAATAAATAATACAAATAGTGACGTACGATTATATTGTTTCGCAGCTGACTAAAAATCACAAAATTATTGTATTTAGAAATAGTTCATTTAAAAACATACAAATTATTTACCTGAATAGTTACTGTAAAAGTAGTCATTCTACGTGTAATGTATTGAGGTATGATTTTTTTTTAAATAGTACTGCCCGTCTGTAGATTTTCCACAGTCTTTCTGGAAAAACTCTGGAAAATAACCGATTTTCCATGAATTTCCATGAATTTTCATGAAAACAAGCTTTTTTCCACAGTATTTACAGAGAACTTGACGTTTTCATCAAAGAAATAACCATGAAACAGTTCTGGAAACTCTGGAAAGTTAACACTTAGACAATTTTCAAGGAGTTTTCTCTGGAAAACACTTAGTCATTTTTGAGAAAGTTTTGGACTTAGGAAATTTTCATTTGATTGCTGCTTTTATGTATACTTCACTTAATACATTAAACTTTAATATTTTTTCCTAAGTTAAAAGCATAAATAATCTTTTTAATATAAAACAGTTTTCTGGTTTTAAGACATAATTAAAATAAAGACAATTTAAAATATGGCATTGACACAATTGTAAACTGTTGACCAGATATTTAAAAACAGCAAGAACATTTTTTAATGACTTTAATTACTTAGCATTGAGATTCAGGTCATACATGTATACTAACTGTAATTAAAAGTAGCAGTTAGCAAAATAAACACTTATAGCTAAACAAAATGAAACCGTAATAAGCCCATCAAGAGTATAACTGTTAATTTTTTTATTGCAAAAAAAAAATAAAAAAAAAAAAAAAAAAAACAACATGCAACCCCATTGCCACTCTTTGGCATTGAAAATGCATTCAGTTATTTTTTCATTTAACTCTAATTATTTTCAAGGTATCTCATATCAAGCCTGATCTGAGTGGTACATTATTATATATTACCCTAAGTTAGAAAAAATAAATATACAATTAAAGAGAAACAATTTAAATTTAAGAACAAATGTAATTGTTATGCACTTATATTTCTTTATTAATTGATGATAAATTTATTATGTATCTCTATTGAAGTATATATAATTTATATATTCATCCTGTGTAGAAGTAACTTATGCATAGTGATTAATTTCTGGAACATTCAAATCAGCATCTGAGCCACAATGTAAATATTTATGACCCCTCAAGTGGAACCCACTGGTTTCATAACTACCTACGTTAAACTCACCTATCTGATATCAGAGAATAGAAAGAGGTAAAGCAGGTTTACAACATACTTTATTACACTGTAGCTCTCAAGTAACTTAGTACCCTTGCGGTCAGAACACTCCTTCCAGGCGGGTCATTTGAACAGAAGCATTGAAAGATAATGTTTATTAGTGCCTAACTGCTTAAAAGTTATAACTTGAAATATTATGTTTGAGCATTGGAAATTAGATAAAATGAGTTTAAACTGGACAAATTTACAAAAGTTTTCTGGAAATATGAACTTTTAAACATGATTCAGTTAAAATGGAGGGAACTACATGTATATAACCATTTCTAACAGTAAGTACAAATGTATTTTTATTTTTTAACACTTATTATGTTAGTTTTTTCAAACTTTCTTTCCAAGTATACACTGTTTCAGTGATTGTATTTCTACATACATGTAACTTTTCAATATTAGATAGATAGTAAAGAAAATCTTTTTCATTTTTAAATAATGGCAGGAAATTTTAAATCAGACATTATAATTTTCCATTCAAAATATTGGTCATTGAAACAGATTCCATATCAAGCAATGAATTTCCAAATTCACATTTGATAAAATTCATAATATGCCTTAATTGTAATTTCTTGTTACTCATGTACATATGTTTATTTTTTCAACATATTAGGTTGCAAACTTTCAAGTCTTGGAGTCACATGAGATGTTTCAACTCAAAGGATGTCAGATGAGGGAAAAGTGATAAATGTACTGTTGAACAGAACTATCCTGGTAATAATTTAGTTTGTTTTGTTGAAAAAAGTTGAAGTAACAAATAAAATTGTTTTCATATAAATGCATGCTTTTTTCAAAATTCTGAACAAAATGTTGTTCTTCATGTTTAATGCATATATTATTGTTATACTGACCCTCAAACTTTCAGTGGTAATTAAGTACTTGTGAAGGATTGAGTAATTTAAACTTCCATTACATACAGTTGTCATTATATAGATATAGGAAAAGCAGGGACATAATTGACACAAGTTTATCATAATGTTGTTTTTGACCAAAAATAAATTATTTTCATCGAAGCATGTTTACTTGATAACTCTGTGCTGATATTCTGAAAAAATCATTTAATTGAAAGTTTTCCATCTTAACTTTTTCACCCTTTCATGTTTTTTATCAATCATGTTTAAACAATACTAATTATATTGACATTGTGCATATAACACAAGTACATGTATTTATATACAATTAATTCATATTTTTCAGTATCCATCGGAGAGGTCACACCACAAGTCAAGAAGATGTTGCATCATGTGAAGTGAAGGATATATACACTGAACAAAAGTTCTAACCGATCACCCTGAGTTTTCGCTCATATATGAAAAAGAATAATACCAATTGATCCGACTTTTATTTTATTTCGAAGAGAATGAACACATTGAGAATAATAAAATTATATCATTTTCTATTTAAATAATGCTTTATCGATATTTAAAAAAGTATGTTTATGAACAGCCACTCACCTTTCTGATAAGAGGCTCCAGCATTCAAAATTCTAACTGCTACGACACGATCCTGCATCGACATTCGTGTCATGTTTTATGTTTTTTCACTTATCAAGTTAACAAGGATTTATGCAATGTAAAATTTAATACTCACCACGCTCTGCACGAACATTTCGTGCCAAAATGTGTAAACCGCGCCCTGTCTCCCGCGTGAGTGCACGGAACCGTATTAGATTATTTTTCTTTCCACAAATCGGTAGAAAATGTCAAAAAATCACCTCTGCAAAATTTTATAAGGATCTATTGACCGTTATAAAATATATAAACTTTAAAAAGTGATCGGTTAGAACTTTTGTTAAGTGTACATGTGTCCTAGATGGATGTTAAATTACATTTGTTTGAATAAAACACTCTGACTTAGAAATAATTGTGAAATGTGCAAATTAATATAAGTTTTTGAATTCTTGACAACTAGAGTGTTTTTTTTTTGATATGCTAATAAAAACACAAATGCAAATTAAAAGGTAATTTGATTTTAGTATGCAACCATCATTTCAGTAGTCCCAAAATGTTCCAGAGTGAATTCCATAGTAATTCCAGAATGTTCCAGAGTGAATTCCATAGTAATTCCAGAATTATTTCAAGGCTAAATGGTATCTTACTCCAGATCCTATTAACTGTGGAACTTTTTCCAGAGCGACTCCGGAACATTTTCCAGAGTAACTCTGGAACTTTTTTTCCAGAGTATTATGTCATTTTAGCAGACCAATTTCCAGAGTTGCTTTGAAAACTCTGGAACATTTTCATGGACAACTCTGGAAAAGTTTCATGAAAAAAGCTCTGGAAATTCATGGAGAAAGTACATGAAAATTCGCGATTTTTTTTTTCAGTTTTCTTTGAACAACTCCGGAAAACTAGTCCGAATTATCCAGAGTTGGCAATTTCCATGAAAATTCCGGAAGTTTTCATGGAAATTCATGGAAAATGTACGGACGGGTGTTATAAATATAGTGTGTGTATTAAATGGATAGCCTTAAACGTAAAGGTAAATTGTATTTTTGGCTGAATAATTGTGGATAACCACCAAGTATTTCCTTGTTATGCTTCTATAATCAAAGTACATATGTACTGATGGGCTGGCTATCTGTCACTTTAAAAGGTCCTGTATCTAAATTTTTTAATTTCATTTTTAATGATTTTATATCATAAATCTGATGCTCAAATGAAGATTTATCAATATTAGCAATAGTTGCAAAGTTATTACCGAATTCTCACTTCATGTAAATAAAGGGAGGCAATTATAAAAATATATTTTATAAAGTCTAAGCCAAAGTTTAAATAACAAATGGATGCATGGGTTTCAATGATTACTTAATATAATGAAAATAAACATTTGCAGTACGTACAAATGCAACATAATCTTGGATGTTTGGAAATTGTTTTAAAAGAATAATTTTATACATATATAAAATTTCACTTAAATGTTGTTTACATTCCTAATAACAACATACATGATCTTTATACATCTAATCTAACACTATTTTAGCCCTAAACTCATGACACACATCTTGAACGTGTAGAGGAATACTTATTGTCATTAACAAGAGTGCCGACATCAACCTCCTGTCGAAAAAATGATGTACGTATGCACCATCTGCGATTTCTAGGCCGACTTCCGTAAATCAATTTTTCGCCCGTCTCGAAGCAATGATTTTCTCCTAGACCCTAATTTAATCAAGTCAAGAGCTAATATAAAACCTTATTAAATAACTATACGTTATTAGTCCCATAAAAAAAGCACCTGCCACGTTCAATAACACGATGGCCTGCCTTAAAACAGGGCCAATATCTATATCACTTATCCGGCCCCGGGCCGAAAAGTGATATAAAGGCCGCATTTGAAGTAATTTGATTGGCTAATAAAGCAGGGCCAAAAATGATATAGATATCAGCAAGAAACTGGGAAATGGCAGCGATTTTGTTTTAACTCGGTCTATGTGTTGACACCGACAGGTTTCATAAATGAAACAAATTATTCTCAGTTTCTAAACAATCACAGTCTTATATTTTGTTGTACATGTACAATATAAGTTACAAAATGTAGGTTTTCCATACAAACTGATAAAATGTAGTAAACTGTTATTTTTACAGTTGTTCTTTGTTATAATTTGAATATGTTAGAATTAAAATAAGAAGAAATATCCGAGAATTAAATGTGAAATATTATAAGTACATTTAGTTATTTAATAAAAGATTGTTGTCAATCAAAACGCATATGACATTATATTTATGAAATATACCCCATGAGAGCACAAAACCCATGCATGTGCATACTACACAGAATTCTAATATTCTAGGGAATTTGAGGTACAAAAAGGATTTTCAAAATTTATTAAACAAATATTTTTATTCAATATAATACCTGCCCACAATTTCCGTCTAAATCGAAACTGACCCTCAAGAAACCTGTACCCAATCGGATGCCCCTCCAAACACCAACATAACTCGTAATAATCCTTATCAGGAAAGCGCAGATATTTTACGATCAGATCGAACACATGTGTCATGATGGCATCGGCGTTTGTTCGTGACAGTCAGTAACGTTCTCGTTATAACGGTAAATTGAACAGCTACAGTGAATTAATATGGCGGAAGAACAATGGTAAGATTGGACAGAAATTGTAAATTAGGAAAAGAATTTCATGTTGCAAGCTTCTAGCAAAATGGAATATATAAACGTATGATTGATTCGAAAGTGTGTTATAAAAGCTTTCAGCCATCTACACAATCGAACCAAAATAGATACTATATACTTCAACACTTAATATACTTTCTTAAGTTGTCTTGTTAATTGTCCGCCCTCAAATCTCAATACGGATCAGATTGCATTTAACTCTAGGGATTGCTGTTTTGATCTGGGTACGGCCTGATTTCTCATTATCAATAGACCCCAGACAGAGATTAAAATTGTCATTCGCGTCTTACAAATATATAAAGATGTTTGTTACTAGCAAAGAAACTTGGAGTCACTGGTACATAATCCACGACAGCAAGGTAGGTGCTACAACCGCTGAAATTCGAAAAAAAAAATTACAAATAATGACATCAGAAAACTTAATAGAGTCTTTATTCTTAACCATGTATTTTTGTGCAGATAGACACCAGTGATGTACCTCTTATTGACTGCAGCAAGATGCGTCATATCTGGGTCTAGCAGAGCGAATATATTGGTTGTCTTCGGGATATTCAGGTGTCAGACTACTTACAGGTCAACATTGGGAGATTGAGGATCCTTCCTACTATACATGACCAGATTCATGCTACGTAAAATCACGCTATAAACGTAAATTATCTGAACTTTCTTCATCCGAGAGTTTAAAATATTTATTTAAGTAAACCCGATTAGATAATTTATCAAGTGCCAACTCTGTATGTGATACTATTAATAACATGGCTGTTTCACAATTATACGATTTTATAAAGTAGTCGCAGTTGATATTGAAACCATTTGTGCATTCTTTTACAATACATATAGTTTCATTTGTTTTGTCTGTTGCTAGTTTCTGTCTTGTTTATCGATGTGCTTCTGTTTGTTTGATTCTTCCTTTCTGCTTGAGGATCAGATTCACCATAATGTGATTCATTGTTTTAAACGAATCTTGTCCTGTCTGGCGTCCTTATTAATGAACACAGATGTTCAAATAGATAACAAAGGTATAGAAATTTAAAAATAATACAACATTATCCATTAAAAAGTTGTCTTTTGAATCATCTTTTAAATTATCAAATCAGCATCTATAAAAACGATGCAGATATTAAACAGTAAAAAGCATAACCAATGGTTTATCAACACAATATCGATTGCAATCACAAAAAAATGATATGTATACAACTGTGACGAAACTGATGATGTTGATAGTTGTCACTTTAGTTTCGGTCGCATGGTTTAACTACCTTCTCTGATCGAATTCCCATATTCTTCGTCAAGATTTACTTAGTTTACAAACAGATTGTCCATACATTCAAGGGAAGACTTGCTCGGACACTGCTTGCGGACAGGAATATTCTAGTGTTATTAAACCATTTTAACGCATGCGCATTTAAAGCTGCAAAAAATGAAATATTTGAATACAATTTCGATTTAATCTCATGTTTCTGATTATGTTTGTCCTTATTGTGAATGAGGACTACCCGTCAATCCAATATATTTAAGAAAGTGGCCAGAAGCCTGGCAGTTCAATATTCTATATATCATATCTGAATATTGATATTGACTTCTCCCGCAGAAGTTCAGCACATCACACACAAATTTCTGAAAAGAGCTTGTATCGTGAATATGGAAATTGTCTCCATGGTGTTTCTTCTGTGTACTTTTTGGAACTTTCAGTAAAATATAAGAAAACAATCTTGCATAGTCTAGTACAGGCGATTTTGGATAATAATAGATTGTCAAGTATTTCGTCCACCGTTGGCTCATATTTTTCCTCATTTGGTGGGGCACTAAGTGATCTTAAACATAACAATATCAATATCCTATCATGCTCCCCTAACACATTTTTAATCCATCACTTAGTGTTTATAATACCACGATCGTAACAACACTGACTTGTTATCCCAGCCTCTTTATCGAAGATAAATTTCAGTATTTTAGTTGCCTTGTGAGTAAAGTGATCGTATGGTTTGGGAAGAAATAATATTTTTCTTTTTTATAAAATGGATTCGTATCTTCCAGAAGTGCCATTGTAACACTATTCTGATACGCATAGCAGATGGCTTTTGTTCCCGTTAGTCCTTTTCCGGTGTATTCGAAAACGATGTTGAACAC